CAAGTAGGTCAAGCTATGACGCGCAACGGCAATCGATATAATCTAAATACGATGAGTATACTCTTGCGAGGGGTGAAGTAATGCCATGGAATAAATGTGCTTTGCTAAATACGGAAGCAGATCGGATCGTTGTGTCTACCAGTGGTACCCATATCGAGCACTTATTGTTATCGCGTTAATCAAATTTTAACGATGAAATAACGCGTTTGGAAAAAATTTTAAAAGAACTTTGCTTGCAATTTTTTTTTTCTCTTTCTTTCTCTAACGTTTTAAATTCTAACTTGTATTCTTTGAAGTACAGGAAATGTAGGGCACTTAAGTTGAACGAGCTCATGTATACACATAGATACGAAAATTAGAATAGAACGTTTCCATGATAATAAAGGTGAGAGAAAAATATGCGAATATAAATTCATAATATGTATGTAGATTAGCAACGTAGACAAAAAAAAAAACAAGAGAGATGAATTTTTTAAAAATTCAACTGATCAATTTTTTAGATATTTTAAAAACATAAATACAGCATGCGATCAATTTATAACTTCATCAATTTCTATACATTATCGTGTGAAAATTAGCGTTTTTGAGAGAGAGAAAGAGAGGGGGAAGGGAGGGAGAAAAGAATACAGTAAGCAGGAGCTTTTCACTGCATTTCGCTTTTCTTTAGATATGCGAGACCTTTTTGCAGATTTAATTGCAAGCTTCGTACGCGCGAATAAGATTGCAGGTATTAAGAAACGCAGATTATTGAGAAACTCTGTGTCGAGGCAGGTGAAGAAATCGATCCGATACTCTCTTCGGTACACGTGATCCGCGCGCGCGCGCACGGTATTCGCGCGGACTCCGGCTGTGGGTTACCTAGGACACCGCGTACATATGAGGAGGGCCGTGTTGCGGGCGACATTTCCGGCACAGTCGTGTCCTCGGTGACGGCGTCGACGGGGTCATGCACGTCGACGTTCGCGTCGTGACGTCGGACTCGAGTGCATCGTTTCGACAGTTTCCGAGTGCACGAAGTCGAGGAGCGTGGATCACGTCGTGAGATGTGCGTGAGACATTTCTTTTCGTTTTCCTGCGAACATGCGCTGAAAGAGGGCTCGAACGCCCCTCTCTAATGTGTGCCGCGCAAAAGATGCTTGGAGGATCCGCGACTCGAGCAAAAATGTAATTAAATATAATACTCTTTCTAAATTCTGGAGTGAAATCCCACTCTAAAGAGTGAGCATTGAGTCAGTTTTTTGAAAAAGAGTAGCTCAATTTTAATCTCTGAGAGCAAGATTCACTTTTAACATCGATATATTTATGTCCTGTAAGACGCAATGTTCTAAGAATGTTACATGAATATTAAAAAGGGTAAGTAATATTTATAGGATTTATAACATTCTAGGAATATTGTGTGCTTATAGTAGCCCATTCTTATTTCAAGATCGTTTTAAGATATTAATACTATCCTCTGATTAGTTCATGACAGTCTTAAGACTGTCTTAAATATAATTAATCTTAAAACGTACATTCTTAAATATAAGAATCGACTATGAATACTGGCCTTAAAGTTTTAGAGAACACATTTTGATTTATCTCGTTTTACTTGAATTTAATTAAATCCAATTGTTGAACATATAATAGTGCGTTCCCAGGTTATCCTTCCTTTATGGAAATTTAATACTAGCCAATTAATTACTTATATTTTGAATATTAAAAATATTATCAATAATATTTTTAATACTAAAAGTAAATAAATTAGTATTATAATATTTTTATTTAGGGTTTAACATTCGATGAATAATAATTAAGATCGGAAATTTGAACACAGCCCAAAGTGAATCTGTAATAATAGAACACCACGAGAACACCGTAATCGATAAACCGGAAAGGACGGGAGAGGAAAGCTCGACGTCGCATTTCGAATCTTGGTTTTTCTAAACGCGCGGCCCTCACTCGGGATGAATCATCACTGTTCTCTCGGCGCGCCCTTATATTTCGACGAGATACTCGATGGAGCGTACGCGCTTATCTCTCGGCACGAAAATAAAATCTCGCGCGCGCGAGAGAGAGAGAGAGAGAGAGAGAGAGAGAGAGAGAGAGAGAGGCTCGATCGGCTTTCTCTCGGTTGTGTGCACCGGTAATGGCGCCGCGAGACCTTGCCGCAGCCTTGCGTTTTCGCCCCGAGGCTGAGAACGCTATTTAAATATACACGTACATACCATGTCGTGCAGGTGTAGGGGGAACTATGCTCGTAACTCTTTACTCTCTCTTTCTCTCTCCGCAGTGTCGATAATATATCCCTTCCCGCAAGGTATATCGAGCGCCGCTATTACCGGAATCACAGTCAAGGTGCGTGCTAAACATTTAAAAGCCGATCGCGTTCCTCTTTCAAAGAGTCATCATTTGAAAATGAAGATTTAAGCGTGGAATGTAAGGAGAGAGTGGCAGAAGTGTAAACGAAGCTCCTAAGAGGCGAAAATTGAGACAACGAAACGTAAAAGAAGCATAAACATCTCTTTTACATTCCTTTGTCTCAATTTTCGCCTCAGAAGCTTCGTTTGCGCTTCTGTCACATTCGACTTATGCTTGAATTTTTCTTTTTGCCAGGGCGCCCCTCAGATCGAGTCGCCAGAATGGACAAACGAGAAATTCTGGATCGCCTTGGTTTCCTTGAGTTCCTGTTCCGTCTTCCTCAAGGCTCCTCCGTTGAAGTCAATGCTCTTCTCTTTCGTCCCTCCTCTTTATTCACGATTTTTTTTTTCGATAACTCAAACGAGACGCGAAAGGTCACGAAGAGGAATGACTGCATAAGAATGGCGGAGATAGGGATAAGCTTTTGCATTTGTTTATTCTCAATCCTTCAAGGTTTCCGGCCTCTCATTGTAGTCATACTTGGAGGAGTTGAAGGGTTAAATTTCTTGGAATATGATCATTATAAGTGCGCAGTCCGCGAATAACGAGAAAACAACGTGTAGCTCAGATCTGGAGATCGATTGTATTTGAGAGTGAGATAAAAAATACAAAAGTCACTAGGTGTTGTGTGATATTTATTTAATAAAATTAATAAATAAATATTCTAATAATTTTTGTGTATTCACATATAATTCACGGTCCAATAAGTTTTTTAAATATTATTTATAAATATTGTAGTGAACACTTGCAATTTTTGTAGTTACGGAAAATTATAAAAAAATTCAATATGGATAAAATTTCGGGAATTGTAAATTATTGATAAGACAGGCCTGTTCTAAAAGATGCCCATTGAGCATGAAATTATTAAATTACTTGTCAATTTAATTTGTGACATTACTATGGTAGTTTAATTGCATTTCCAAGTCCGAAAAATCAATTCGGCATGCAGTTTAAATGACCGCATATGTGATATGCGACACGGTAGTATCTCGGTATTAAGACATGATGTAAGACTCTATACCATGTTCCTTTACGCGAGCCGATGAGTTGTGCTAGATATAAATTCACATAGAATTATTTAAGCACTTAAGACATAACTTTAATCCTGAAATCCATATTCAACAAGTATAATAATATCAGCAGGAATCAGAATTCTTAAAGACATGAGTAAGACTTGATTATTTCCGATATGTCCGTTCCGAGCGTATCGTTGACGGAAAGTTAAGTCGAGGTTGTCAGCTTGCACTAATAAATTTAATCGCGGGCCTACGTGAACGTAATTTAAGTTAGGGAATACTGCGAGCAAGTCTTGAAAGATAGGCCACATTTACATCAGAACGTACTAGGTTTAAGTGGCTATCTCTGAAAAAGGTAATAATTTTTAAATTATATAATACAATTATATAAAAATTTTTATCTATCTTCATTTAATGCAATGTTAACTCCTATTCACGATGCATTCAATCAACATTGAAGTGGACATTTTTTAAAAAGTTCATTATTTGTACCTCTAAAATATCATTACTTAATCTTATTATAAATATTATAAATATATTATAAATATTTTAATTCTTCACCTCACACTTTCTTAAAAATCTCTAAATGGATTTTTAGCCCATTATACTATGTAATCCCATCACACTTTATTTCATTCTCGCCATAGTGGAATCAGAATCCACCAATCCATCTGATTCTGATCTATTATGATTCTCGCCATGATTTTCGCATTTCTCGCTCAGTCACGAACAGTCATGAAGAACTGAATTTGATGATCATTGGATAGCATTGAAATTTAGGTTTGATAGCATTGAATTTTAAGTAAAAATTCGAGATTGAAATCTGAGTTTTGATATTGGAGATCAAACTTGGGATTTGAAGAACGACTATGAATTCGGATCTTAGAAATTTTTTTCGTTTGTCGAATGAATACTTCATCGTTTTCTTAGTTTTCCTCCGTCTGTATTTTATTACTGACAGCCTTTATAGAAATTTAATACTGATCAATTTAATCACTTATTTCGAATAGTGAAAGTAGTGTTAACGGTTAACTAGAAAAGTTACGTTTAAATTGAAAAAAAATCTTTCTTGAAAAAAAAATTTCTTTCGTTAATTTTTTCAAGTTGAAGTGAAAATACCTTTGAGGAAAATAAAAATTTACTCGATTTCAACAAATAACGTTAATAAATAAAAGAAGCTTTTCTTTGACCGTATAGCAATACACCAATTTCTTTCATTCAAATAAGTTTTTTTTTTAATCGAAGAAATACTCTTTTCTCTGGATGAGGACAGAGTCCTCATTACCGCGTCCATTCAACGAATGTTGATGATGGATGTTTTTACAGGTCAGCGTGAACAATCACGGGAACCTGAGAAGCGGCGATCCGTCACTCCGTGACTCGACGAGCCGACATGCTCCTACGTCGTCCTCCGGATTAAACTTCCTGGTACGTGAGTCAGGATCACCGGAACTGTCGGGCCCGGTGGCCTCGTGGCGAGGATGAGCGCCAAGATATCGACGGTCAGCCACGACAGCACGGCACAGTCAACGACAAGCCATCGCGCCGCGAGATCGTCGCCTGTCAAGAGATCGCTGTCGCCGGGTAAGTGACACGACACTTTGACAATGACAGGTATCGCTTATTGATCTTCATCGTGGATTTTCACCCCTAAAATTAGATTTGCAGCTAATGCTGTTGAAAACTGGATTTGCGTTATGAACGATTTGTCTAATATATATATATATATATATATATATATATATATATATATATATATATATATATATATATATATATATATATATATATATATATATATATATATATATATATATATATATATATATATATATATATATATATATATATATATATATATATATATATATATATATATATATATATATATATATATATATATATATATATATATATATATATATATATATATATATATATATATATATATATATATATATATATATATATATATATATATATATATATATATATATATATATATATATATATATATATATATAT